TGTTATTCCAGTTATCTTTTGGCTTCCTACTTTAGCATTCCAATCCCCCATGATGATAAGGGCATCATTTTTTGGAGTTAATTTTAGAAGGTGTTGTAGACCTTCATAGAACCGGTCAACTTCAGCCTCTTCAGCACCAGTGGTTGGGGCATAGACTTGGACTATTGTGATGTTGAATAGATGCCCTATTCTAGAGACAAGCATCTCTGCCCATATTGTGTTGCATCTGAAATGCCAAATCACTGTCCCACAGGTGATGGGTACCACTTGCAGACGGAAATCAGCAGGAATGGCTGCTTACAGCAATCAGCGCTGCCCATGGTAGAACACTGAGGGGAAAAATTAACAATTGCACTCTGACAGTGCAATCTTCTACTGTCCCACTGAATTAAAGATTTATTTCCAGGTCATTGTCTATAGCATGGGTCCTCAAACTACCAGATCTGGCCCACCATGCCCATTTATCCGGCCCGCCATGCCCATTTGGACACGCCACCACCCACCTCACCCCGCCATGCGGGGAGGCAGCGGTTTGCTTGCTTGGCGAAAATGATCTGCAAGCAAGCAAGCCGCTGCCTCGTGTGCCTGCCTCGCAGCACGTGCCCCCACATGCCGCCCCCATCCCCCACACCACCCCATGTGCATTGTCAGCGCCACCTTTCTGGCCCATGCCCAGCGCCGGTAGCTTCCAACTGGCCCCCTGGTGGAAAAGTTTGAGGACTCTTGACCTAGCCCATGGATCCTCAAACTACGGCCTGCCATGCTCCTTTATCTGGCCTGCCTCAGAGCTTTTGGACTCGCTTGGAGAAAACGATCTCCAAGCGAGTCCAAAAGCTCTGAGCCGGGCAGGCATACTCAGTTTGGGGATGGCTGTGATCACAGTCATGCTCATGCAGGGAAGACGGGCATGATCGTGGTCATGCTCGGGGGGGAGATGGCCGTGATTGCACCCGGCTTCTCTGCACAAGCACGCCCACGATCGCGTCTGCCTTCCCTCCAGGATCGTGGGGGGGGGGGGCGGCAGGGAGATGGCCATGGTCACGCTTGTGCAGGGAAGAGAGGCGCGATCACTCTCATGCTCGGGGGGCGGGAGGTGGCCACAATCGCACCTGCCTTCCCTGCACAAGTGTGCCTGAGATCACGCCCACCTTCCCTGCATGATAGTGCTGGAGGGGGGGCAGGATGGCTGCAATCACAGTTGTGGGTGGCAGGGAAGACGGGCGCGATCGCGGTCGTGCTTGGGAGGGGAGACGGCCACGATTGTGCTCGGGAGCAGAGGGGAGATGGCTGCAATCACGCCTGCCTTGCCTGCACAAGCGCCATCATGTCTCTCTCCTGCCCCCCGAACACGATTGTGGACATTGTAGCTATGTCCCTTGAATATGGACATACTCTTCCTCACCTCATCTTGGGCTTCTACTGCAGCCTGAGGGAGCGGAGCAAACATTTTAAAATTATTTTTTAAAATTTTAATTAATTTTAATTTAAATCAATTTTAATGTGCAGTGTGCATAGGGATTCGTTCATATTTTTTTCAAACTGTAGTCCGGCCCCACAACAGTCTGAGGGACAGTGAACTGGCCCCCTGTTTAAAAAGTTTGAGGACCCCTGGTCTATAGGAAATCTGTAATTTTGTGCACATTTACTTAAGTGCAAACTCTACTGATTTCAGGAGAATTACTTCTGCATTTTGAAAGATAAGTTAGTGGAATCATTAGCAGAATAAGTTATGTTATAATTCTTGCTAATTATTATTTTAATGCCTCATCAGAGTTTGTTTACTTCTGTTCCTTACAACATCCTGCATTTGATTTAAATGGCATTTGATTTTTTTAAAATCCCTTTATTCAGAATTTCATTAAGTGTCATTTGCTCAGTATACTGCATTATAACAAGCAATATTCTGCATATCCTCAACTATATTTCTGTGGAATAATCTTTTTTAAAATATATACAAATATGTAAATATAAATATTAGTATAAATAAATTAATCAATGGAATTTTACAGAAGATTCTTAAAGAACTTTTCATTAATGAAAAAGTTATATTTTTAATTTAAAATGATAGAAAACACTGGTGTTAAAATCTGGTTTTATATGCTAAGGATATGCAAGATGATTTGGTGTCCGAATCATCCAAATGGATAAATATATAGATAGCTGGTCTGTCTTTCCTGTGGTCTATTCATAATTGCTTTATTTATATTTTATTTTCATATCCATACATATACACCCATAGGGACATTCTTAATATGTACTTGTTGTAAATGATTTATTTCAACTTTGTAAGACAATTGTAGACATATATTTCTTTTAACAGTTTTGTTTTGTGAACTACACAATAAAAATTAATTTAAAAGATGGTTGCTGTCATCAGACTGGGCTAATAATGGTAGAATTCTAAACACATATTTTCAGATGTAAGTGCCATATGTTAAATGTAGCCTATAAGCAATACAACCACTGAAAAGATACAACCAATAGATTTGCATTGGATCTTGCTTGTTTGCCGTGAGACCATTTGGTTAAAGATGGGATCTACCCTTCCCTGGGGTCTTGAGCCTCTGGTCCATGGCCAAATCCAGTTCATGTAAGGCCACATGCTCTCTTGGATGCTATAGGTGGCAATGCCTGCTTCCCCAGTCACCAGATGATCTCCTTGCTCAACTAATTACTGGATAGTTTGCTGTGGTTTACTTCATGTTTCCATGCAGTTAAACAATGATTTTCTTGTATTTGGCCCTGCCTGTTTTGTATTTTGTCCCAATTCCACCCAGCACTGGAATGTAACTCCAAGAGAATCTCCAAAATTGAATTAGGCATTTGGTTGGATAGTCATTCGACACCCCAGACTTATTATTTGCTCATGATCAAGCAGTTTGATAAAAGGGATAGTCTTTCCCCAGAGGAGACGCTATGAAAAGTGAACTCGTGTCAAAGCAAAGTGACAGCTTCATTTCACTTGTGGCTTTCCGTGGTTTTGGAGGTAAGGACCTTCTTTACTTTAAGACTAGCCAGCTTCATCTGCGAAAATTTCCTTCGCATGTGGAAACCTGGGGTTACAGTCCCAGGCAAGACACAGCATCATCACTACAAACCACTGCTTGTGATGTGCATGACAACACTGTAAATCACAATGGCTTGACTAGCCAGGGAAAGAATTGACTCCTTTCCAATATGAGTGGGAATACTATAACCCAATCTTCAGAAAAGCCTCAAAATATTATTTAAAAAGGATCCATTCTCCACTCACAGGAGAAGCAAGCTAACCAGAACTGATCAATCTTGCTAGAACACAACAGAGTAGGGAGAGGTAATTTCCTGCTGTTCCAGGTGACTAGCCTTAATTATGTTATGCCCATTTTTATTTCAAAATTTTGAATTTGAAAACAAAATTGCTCCATGGTCTACAGAATAACCTATTAGGGAATAAAGCAACTGTGAAAATGCCCCTTGAGAATGAAATCTTGTTAAGAAATAAGATTTTTATTCACCACACTGTGAGAATCAAAATGACTGATTTACAATCAGTTGTGTGCATCCGTCTATGTGACGGATGAAAGTAGCAATTTGAGGTTTCCAGCCACCTAGGGGCAATCTCACAGAGACACAAATTCTCAGAGAACTGAGGAACAAATGCCAAAGGTTCTTTAATGCTTTCGGACACACTTCTATGGCTTCTGGACAATGGGTATGTGCTCGCAACGTGCTAAACCAGTAAGCCATGGTGGATTGGTTGTTGTGCAAACCACTCACAATGCACGCAATGCATGATGAGGATTCCCATGGGAGGACCAAGTTACCTCTCTGCTCCCAGCCACAATCACAAGGTGTTTGGGGCTCACCACAGCTTCCCCCCCGCACCCCGTTTAAACTTTCTTCCTTCAAATTATGAAAGCCAATTCTCAATCGCGATTGTTTTTTGCAATCATGGTTCTAACAGCCCCTTTAAAATGAGTTCTATATAAATCCCTGCCACCCATTTTTAGCCCTTTCCAAATCCCACTGAAAAATGAAGCTTAGCTTTTGATAGCTAACAAAGGCAACTGCTCCAGTGAATGAGCTGGCTTGCACATTTGCATGTTCCCAAGGTGGTCGAATCACAGGAACAAGTGCAGATCTGACAGCAGCCTTGGGACTCATGAGTCCCCCTGCCCAAGGATCTTGCCATGTTTTCACTAGCTGAGGTCACTGATGGTGTTGGTTACCTTTGGCAGCTCAACTTCTGACAGCTGTCAGATGCAATGCAATGTTATCTGCTGTCCTGAACCCCTACCTATTTCCACACCCACACAACTGTAAAAAAAAAGTTGAAAGTTTGAGAGGGAAGGGTTTTTTTTAATGCTTTACAACTGCAGGCTGCCCCTTCCAAAGTGCTGCTGGAGCACTTTGATGGGACTGCCTATAATTGTGACAACAGGGATTGTAAAGTTTGGCTTGACAGCCAGACTTCATGATCCAAAGAGGGAAAATGTTTGCATGGAAAGAAAGTTATTACACTGAGCCTGGCACAGCTTGCAATTGTGGCAGGGAGGGGGGCAAGCCAGTGCCAGCTGTTCCAAGTGCCACTTGGGCACTTCAAGGGTGGCCCGTTCTGGCAGTTGCTGATAGCCACCTGGCAAGAGCAGTAAGGGGTGGGTGGGTTCTGCCAAGCAGCACAGTAGTCAATTCCCTACATGATGGACTCAGTTCCCAGGATTTGTATAACATGACAGTCCATTAGCAGGACGACCATCCCTACAACAATAATTTCTATCAACAAGACACCCTGAGGAAATCAGGCCTGGTTCACATGACAAAACAGCCCATCTTAAGTACGAACCCACAATAGGCTGTTCTGACCTACAAACCCAATCAATGGATGAGTTTTCTTCGCACAATAAGCCACCCCTGATACACACAACAGACAATCAGGCACAGACAATCAAGCCCTGTCTTTCAGGTTAGGTTTTTTAATGGTGGCAAAGCAAAGTGGCAGCAGCAGACTGGGGATCCAGTAGCTGAAATCAAATGTGATGAGAAGATAGTGAAGTAAGCCAACAGAGTATGTCTTGCCCCTGAAAAGATATGTCATAATGTCTATTGATAGGTCAAAGAGTAGTCTGTAAAGATTTCCACCTATTTTCAACTGTCCCAGTGAAACTGTTGCAGTTACTTTCACAGGAAAATAGTTGACTACCTGAAAATTGGGAGCAACACTGCAAGGCACTTAACCGTGTTTTCTCTAGGGATAGATGATTTTAAGAGGACACCCCAAAAAGGGGGTGCTTAAACCCAATCCCTGATTCCTCACTAAAAAAGCTCCACAGGCAATTTGAATAATTCTTTCACAGCCAGCTCTGAAATTAGAAGTAAAGCTGACTGGGCTAAAGTAGAGAGAGGGGAGAGTTTGGACGATTCTCAGGGGAGAAGCAGTAGGCACTGAAAGGGGCATGTACTCCTTGCACCTTCCTGCCAAGACTTCCTTCACGAAATCACCTTCCTTTAAATTCCTTGGGACTTGCTGCTGATGGCTGGAACTGCAGCCTTTGGGCCAAACTTTAGTCGGGTTAAATGCACATCCTTAAGTTGTGTGAATCTTCTTAGAAATGCAGGTAGTGTTCCTTTCTCCCTTGCTGTGGGGGTTCTGACATAAATCACACTGCCCAGAGCTCTCATTATTTGAAGTGGCAGGAAAGTTATCATTGGCACCAATGGAGGCATTGCTCCATGTGCAAAAAGCTCCACGACAGTCATTTTCACTGGCGCTAAGGCTGGGAAGAAGGGATCAAGCAGACCCTCAGTATCTCCTCGAGCGTTCTGCAATTTGCACTGCTAAGAAGATCTGCACAGCTTCAAGAGGAACAGCCAGCACTGCCTGTCCTTTGCCCATAGTTTGACTTTTCAAGCTCAGAGCTCAAACAGCACTACTTGTCCTGGTATTATAGTTCTTCATAACTGCCAAGATCATGCATCTTGCCACATACAAGAAAGAACTCACAGGGATGGTCACAGACTACATTTGCCAGAGTGTAGGACACAGAATAATCAATTCAAGTTGTGACCGCTCAGATTCAGGATGGACCTCAGGAAAAGCTTCCTCACTGTCAGAGCAATACGACAGTGGAACCAGCTGCCTAGAGATGTGGTGGGCTCTCCCACACTGGAAACATTCAAAAAGAAACTGGACAGCCATATGAGTGGGATGGTGAAACATGGTGTCCTGCAACAGCCTTCGTGGCCCCTTCCAACACTACTATTCTATACATTTGCTGAACTTTATCTGAAATCCATAGTGGATCAAAAAGCCTTTATTAGGGCCAAACAACATCCCACAAAAAGGTACAAGCTTTTCAGTTCTTCAGAACTCTTCATAAAGTGAGATGGTTAAACAGTTGTAGTTGTAGCAAGAAAGAGTGAACTCCAAAACTACTACTGACCAGATCCTGCAGCCACAAGATGTGCAGTTTTAGACCCAGTTTCAAAATAGAGAATCGTAGACTAAGGAAGCAATTCTATGCACATTCATACAGAAAGAAGGTCTCTAGCTCCCAGCCACATATGGCAAGGGCTAGGCCTTTTTAAATATCTAAACTTGTATAGGATTGCACCTTAAATGAATTGCATAGGTTGATTAGATATAGTAAGTAGCAGATTACAGCCAATAGTGGATTCTGAGAGAGGAAAGCAATGGCTGCTCTTTGTTTCCAAAAACATTAAAGCTGATTAGTGTCTCTTGCCTTGGCTGAAACAAAAGGTTTCTGAGTTGACATAAAGTAGAATTCTGGGGGCGGCAGGGGTGGGGTGGGGAACTTTTATATGAAAAGGCAAAGATTAATTTAGATCATGCCATTGAAGCCAAATTGTGAGCATTACCTTGTGACTGAAAACAATGGAATCCTCTCTTCAGGTTGTAGAAATCTTCTTCTTGTTTGATGGTAAGTTCTGCCCTCAACAGCTAAATTCAGTATTCTCCAAAGCACATTGGGCAAGGATTTATCTCAGTGTAAAAATCTGTACTGATTTCAAATGGCTGTTTTCACGTATTGCCCCAGCTGTCATCTCTAGCATGGCTAACATTCTACTAGTTCTTGAAGAATACATTTCTGTTTGCCAGCATCTGAAAGAAAATTATGCTAACATTACAGGAGCCACTAGGGGGTGCTGTTGGTGCATATTAGGATTCTTAGACTGTTCCCATCTGCCATTCTGCCAAATATCTCTAAGGGGATTCTTGCCTGCCTTCAACTGATTCCCAATAATCTTGGTTTGCCTAAAGGATATTGTCAAAGAAAGAGTAAACTACAAGTTTGTACTTAAATAATTTCTTTGCAAAAATATGTAGCCTTATTATGATTCTCTCTGAGATCACTCTGCCCCCATAATTTCTATTTGCAGGTGGGCTATTTGCATTTGCAGAGGTCCCTGGACAGATCTGTCCTTTGTTCATAGCCTCCTTCAAATCCTCACCAATGAAAATGTTTCCCGCAATTTTATGGCTAGACAGGGCAGAAGGTGTGTTTTCCATTCCCCACAAGAGTAGCCACAAATGTGGCACTTTTCTTGTCTTCATAGCAATGAATAGCAGTGATCCTCATATATGGAACAAAGTACCTTGCGAGCAGTATGTTCAGCATAGGAAAGCTGACCAAGCAGTGCTGCCATGAAGCCCTTCCACCTCCAAATCCCAGATAGGTGTGGCTTGCTGTGACTTCTTAATTGGAGGAAATAGCATGGTGGTGGGGAGATGAGGACAGCGTCTCCCTTCCCAATAGGACTAGGGAGAAAACATGCATACAGAGAAGAGTGAATTATTTTGAAACACAATGCCTTGCAGCTGGATAGGTGTGGGATCCATTGATAGGATCAGGCTGTAGAGAAAGTACTTTATGGCAGCCTTCCGTAATGTGGTGTGGCCTCATTGTTTAGACCACAAGGCCCAGCATCCCTGACAGTTGGCTGTGCTGGCTGGAGCTCATGGCAGGCGAACTCTGGGGGTAACAGGTTGGCCCAGGAAGCCTGATTTATGGGTAGCATCTCTGTCAATCCCAGTGAATGGATGGTTTTGCATGGAAGCCAGCCATGAAATATGCCTATGGCAAGATTAACAGTGTATGAAAAATGTGTTAAAACAATACTACAGAGGAAAGAACTGATGGGTTGGAATTGCCCTCCAGACTTATTTGGAATTTAAACCCCATTAGTTACTTACAAGCAAACATGTTTAGAATTGCACCATAAGTAGAACAAGCCTAGTCTGGATCCAGCCCAAAACAGAGTGGGAATGCATTGAGCAAAGACTATAGCAACACACAGCAGCTAAGGATTCTGGAAAAGGGTGGGATAGTAGAGATCCTGTAGAGATCAGTGTTAAGGGATGTTGGAAGGCTCAGATAGGGCTTGTAATTCTAGTTTTTAAAAATGTATAATTCTATACCTTGCTCTCCTTCAGATGTGTTGTCAACAGATAATATCTGTCATCCAACGGATGCTGTGTCAAACTCCACGGAATGGCTTGTTCTGTCATTTCATCAGCCTCTGGGAGCAGTAGCCATCTTCAGATCAAGTCTGCTGTTTAGATTTAAGTCAGCTACAACAACATTCGGTTCTCCTTTCAGCTCAAATGGAAGACTGTGGCATTGGTCCTAGAAGGCCTATTCAAAAGCAAGTTCTGGTGCATTCAAGGGGGTATTCTTTGTCAAAATATATGAAAATATTACCAAATAATGAAACTAATATAGATTCAAAGGTGGACATCTTCTGTTATTTCAAATCCTTGATATATTTCAGAACAAAATGGTTGAAAATTACTGCAGTGGGGATGTAAAGAAGTTCTATTAAATAAATAAAAGAATTAAATAAGAAAATCTAATTATTAAAGCTGTAATGCAAACTTGGGATACTTTGAGAATATTTAAATCTGTAAGTATCATTTGTAGGCTGCAGTTCTATAGATCTGTTCCTTGGATTGAGTTTAACTGAATTAAATGAGGCTTCTCAGTAGACCTGCATAGGGTTTCACCATTAAACTCCTTTGTTAGCTTCTGTAGGTAGACCATCACTTTGTTAGATATGGGAATATTCTGGAAGAAGGATGATATATTCTATATATAATATATGATATAAGAAGAATTTTGATACATTCAAAATTTTTGAGAAAGCTCAAGCAAACTATTAAGAAAATAGTATTGCATTTTATTAACCAATGCATTTAATATTAATTTATCAATATTGCATTGTATTAACCAACACATTTTAATATTGGTCTAAAATGTTATTGTAACTCTTTCATGGGTAATAATATTTCACTGCTCAATGGTTTCTTATCTACAAATAGTAAAATTGAAGAAATATCCTGATTCTTACATGCTGGATAGGATAACTAAAATAAGACAGTTCGCTCAAGAGCTGGAAATGCATTAATAAGAGGTGGTGATAGAAGTCAATTGAATCATAAAATGTTGACAGAATAGTCTCCTTTCATTGACTTTTGAAAGGTAAAAAAAGGAATTAAAAGCAGCATTCTGATCTGCACTATGTGCCTTCAATGACGTTAACATTATGCAAATGCTAAAGAGAAAGGGCTACACTGAACCCAATTAAGGTAGTGGTGCCTAGAATATTATTTTCTATTTAAACTCTAGAACTTATTTAAGTCTATATAGACTCTATATATGTTGTCCATATATATGAGACCCGTGCACATTCGCCCCAAATCTCAGAGTGGTGATATACAATGCTACATTCTGCGACTAAAATGTAAAAGAAATGCATGGTACATACCACTGTACTATGCATGTGCTTCAGTCCTTACACAATGGACATGTACTGGAGTACACTGTAAATGTTGGCGGAATCATGCCCTTTATTTCTAAGTGCGTATTTGGAAATGCAGAATGTCAAATGAAAACCTGTTTGACAGTGTCAGTCCTGAAGATGTGACAACGCTGAATCAGACTGAGAACCCAGAGTATTGTTTTCTCCAACTGCCTGTGGCTGCCGAAGTCCCGGCCCTGCTGTGCTGAGGGGACAAGGCAATGACCCAGAGAGCTTCCTCCGGGTCACTGAGAGCCATGAGAGAGTCACGTGCTCTCTCATGGCTGCTCCTTCTCCAACTTGGTGATCTCTGGATGCTTTAAGCTATGATCCCTTTCAGCCTCACCACTGGCCATCCTGGCTGTGGCTGAAGGGATCCATGGTCCACATCTGGAGGGTGCCAGGGTAGGTAAGGCTGTGCCAGAGGCTGGGTGGTGCTGATCCTCTAAAATGGCTTGTGCAGAGTCTGGTCCTAAAGAGCACTGGCAGGCAGAAACCGCCTGCTCTGTTTGGCTGCATCTCATTATTGATGTGCGTTGCTATAGAATCAAATAGGCCATTGGCACCTTGCCAGAATCAGTAGTCTGAGATGTTCTACTCTTATTTGATTTTGTATTGTAATAGCTGGACCAACAGAGATAAACCTCTTGGACAAGAGACCTTTTCAGCAAATAAACAGTGGCATTGCTTTTAAGGTCACTTGCTGAAAACCAAATTACATGTGATAGATGCTGCTTCAAAGGTCAGATGGTAAAGCACATTCAGTGCCTGAAAATTGCACAGACCCAAACTTCCTGGATGCTTAAAGAAGCACTGCTACAATAAAGTTAATTATAGGCTTAATTTAGATGGGAGAATACCTTGTTTAGAAGAAAAGAGAACCTAATTGTAAACAAACAAACAGTTGTTCATTTTATCAAACCTTACTACCTGTTTAATGTTTGGGAGAATTCATAGTAATAGGCAATGATGATGCCTTATTACCATCCCATTAGGCTAGGGTCAATATATCCCACTCTATTGATTTGCATAGAGCTGAGCTTTGTACATATGAAAACAAGAAATGCAAGTGGGATAAATACTTTGGGAACTAGGTATTGGTGTAAAAGTGAAGTAAAGTAGAAACAGAGTTGTGTATATTTTGGGTTATAGTCAGTATTAGTATTACCTGGAACAGATCCACTGAAATGAAAGGTACTTAACTTAGACTAATACTGCTTATCCTCTTGTCTGCCCATAGTACTGAAGTGCAGAGTTTGAATCCAGAGTTCAGCTTTCATTCTTTAGAAAAAGCATGCTTCTCTTTCCTATGGCTGTAAGGCACAGTTCAAAAATATGTGAGCAGCAGTAGGAATTCCAGTGACCCAAGTATATGCACAGGTGCAAGTTCTTCTCTTCTGGTTACCAATGACTTAGTGGAGCAGACACACTAGTGGATCTGTGTGGGGCTGGGCTGAGGACTGCTAGGGATACATAACACTTGAAAACGTCTTCTGTTTGAGCTCTTGTTTTGTTTGGGTAAGTTCTGTTTCCCGTTTGTGTAAGTGGCATACATTTGGGAAAACTGCATAAAGTTGTGCAACTCAGGACTGACTTGTTAGATTTCAGTTGTTGTCACATATAACGTAAGAAGTAAGAAAACATCTTCTTGCTGCATGTGCACACATTCTGCCTTGGCCACCTTGAATCTTCTGACACCTAATTTTAGACTTGAGCAAATTCAAGTGGAGCAGACAAATTTTGCTCAATTAAAACGATTGCAAACAGCAGCTTATTTTAGAAAGCGGGGCCTTTAGGCCAGCTCTCACATCAGTTTGAGTCAGCACCAGCACAGGATGGATAAACAGGATCTATCAGGTTTTCATTCCCTTACTGATTTGCTTACACATGCATTTCTTCTGATACTCCTGTCTCTGCCTGCACTCCACTGGGACCTTCTATGGACAAATCTTTTTATAACAATGAGCTAGAAATGGGGAGAGATTTATTCAATTAGCTTGGAAAAGAGAGAAATGTATGGGGAAGCGAAACACATCACACAGCCAACAAGTCACATGTTTCTTTTGCAGGGTCTGTGGTTCTACCTGGGGCCAACTTGAGAGTGCTGCTATTCGTAGGTGTTTCACAGGAAGACCATTAAATCATTGCCCAGCTATGCTTGCTGAGTTGAAGTCTGGATCGCTGCAAGCATTATCAGCAGATTAGCTCATGCAAGCTTTCTCACTCACAATATATCCAAAGAAAAATGCTGATGGGACTGAATAGAAAAGTGAGGGCAGGAACCGTCAGGGAAGCCGTCATGTTATTGGCTTACACAGAGTATTTAACCTGTTAAAAGCACTGTAACTGGATCTGTAAATAGTTTCTGAGCCTCCATAACAAGTTCTTACCTCCATCCCACTTCACTGTCCCCTGCAATCCTGTGTTCATCCATAATCCATACAGTAATAAGTGACTGAAAATAGTGCGGCAGCTAGGTAATGTATGAGCCTGGACTTAATGGCCTAATGACAAGGGGTGTGTGTGTGTTGCTAGTGATGAGAAAGGTGATCAAGCGAGCAGTGCACGGCCATGCCCTGCCTGGTATAGGGACATGCAGGAGAAACAAGAGAAGGCAGCGGCCAGTCTTGCTCACTTGCACGCGCGCTCTCTCTCAGGGGCTTACTGATAGGGGTGTGTGCATCATAGAAACTGGAGTGGTCACTTCTGTCCTCTCACATGCCCTGAAGCACATGGAAGATCAGCCTCCTCATCCACTCACTTTCCACCTCAGGTCTCCCTCTGAGTGTGGTGGGCACTTATCCAACACATCTGTTGATGTACAAAGTTCTTTTTTGTACTACAGCGGAAGGCCCTCTGGGGGAGCTGTGATGGTGAGGAATCTACACTTTTAAATTTCCCTTTACACCAGTTTCTATGCCATTCCCAAGATGCATGCCTGCTTTGTCTCATAAAGTAATCCTAAACTCTTTGAAAACCCTAACTTTAGAAACAGGGGGCTGAATGCAAAATTTACTTTGTATTAAAGTTTACCTTGTACAATTGGAGATACAGACTGTGCTTGTAGCTTTGATACACAGATTCAAGAGCAGCTATGAAAAGAGTAATTTTCTGCAAGAAATCTGGAAGGCCACTGCAGTTGTGTGTTGCCACAGAACAAATAAGATGTGGATCAGACAACGTACTACCTCAGCCTAAAAAATGTCACTGGGACCGGTAGATCCAAGTCTATCCACGCCCATACCACAGTACCCTAAAAGCAAATCAGCAGGTCCTCTTGCGTCTTGCTATGCCACGAATAAAGAAGACAGCTTTTCCCAGTCTGATGCCTTCAGATGTGTTCAACTACAACTCCCAGAATTCCCTAGGTAGCATATTCTGGGAGTTGCAGTCCAACACGTCCAGGGGGCACCAGGTTGAGAAAAGCTGTTTTAGAAAGTTAAAACATTGTTTGCTGTAAAACAAAACGTGGCATTGTGCATGCAACACGTCTGTATTCTGAATAAAAAGGTACAGCCGCAGTGCTACGTACATCCTGGTGAACAGGGTGGCTCTTACTTCTGAGTAAACAAGCTGGGACACACGCTTCCTCTCTCTTGTACGGTCCAAGCTGTTGGCTTTCCCTTGCTTCGTTTGCCCCTCCCTGAAACACCAAAGGCAACCCTGACCCGTTTCCGTGAACGTCCCCGTGATCTGCCGCACGTAAAACGCTTTTTATTGAGTTCTGGATTGGGAAGAAGGCGTGTGTGGAACGAGCTGGGCGAGAAAAGACCCACTGAGCATGCTCCGCCTTACAACATCGACAGGTCTCTTACCCCCGTCTCTCAATTAACTTGAGGGCAAAATGGAGGCAGGAAGCTTCAGCGTCTGCTTCTGAGCATGCTCAGCTCCTTCGAGCATGCTCAGATGAGGCAAGGGGTGAGTTTTTGAGGAGACCGCAATTGTACAACGCACCACGCCGGCTTTCGTGCTCCCGCCTGAGGCTGGCTGGTGGCCGGCCAGGCAAGTCGAGGTGAGCGTGCAGCGCAGAGTGCCCTGGGTGGCGATGGGCGGGTTGTCGCCCGTAGTGGGGTCTCATTAAACGCGGTGGGACGCTGCGGGGAGACTCCGCTGGATAAATGCAGGCAGATGCAGGCAAAGAGCGGGGGAAGGGACAGTACCCCCACTGATCTGTTGGGATGGGTAGTCGTTGCTCTCGCTGCTAGAGGGGGCTCATTGCAACTAGCTTGCAGCTTAGTGCAAGATCTCGGGCTTGTTTGGCTCTTAAGTGCAAAGTGGTGCACCAACTGTCTCTGGACCATTTGTTTCAACTCGCTATCCCCTGCTTCCTCCTCCTTTTTTTTCTTGTGCGCCTTTTCCCGAGAGTTTTGTTTTCCCAAAGCATGGGAATGAAGCGTGACCTTAATGAAGTCTGGTGCGTGGCAAAGACCGGTTATATCAGTAGGCCTTAAAAGAAACACAGCAAAACCTTGCTAGAGGATTCTGCGGTTCTGGAAATGCTTTGCAAGTTGGTGGCTAGCTGCATTTGAGAAAATTCTGTGACATTGGCAGAGCTCAGTTCTAGTTACTTCAGGACTTAGCATGGGTTGGAACGATCCAGACAACTCAAGATCTAGATCACCTTCCCCAAACAGGTGTCCTCCATTGGCTAGAAACTATGGAAGTTGCAATCTAACAGATCCGGAGGGCTCCAAGCTGGGAACTGACCTAGGTTGCCCAACAGCTCTGCCTTTTGTTTATAAACTGCAAAGGATACAGCAATTGTACAGCATGTCACACCACATTTGGTTCCAGAACTGATCTAAATTTGGTGATACCGGGAAAAGAATCTGGGACATTTGCATGCAAGAGTGTGAGCTATGTCCTTTATAATATATGCAAGTACTGACAAAGCAATGCACCCTTCCCTGCTTTCCACATACCCTAATTGTGAAATATACTCTAACAATTTTCTGAAAATGCTTCCCCATAAATCCTTGAATTAGGGAGGTTAGCTAGGAGTTGTCAGCAATTGTGTAAGTAACTTTCATGTTTGTGCTTTCATTTATGGCTTTGTATCAGTCTTCTCCAACTTGTTGCCCCCCATACGGTTTGGATGGCATCTCCCATCAGCCACAGTAGGTGTTGCCATAGCCAGGAATAATGGCAATGTAGCCAGAACATCTTCAGATTATAAAAGCCTTTATATATTTTAGAACTCATACTTGGTACTTATATGTTTTGGGACAAAGGCACAGTGGGGGGAGGGTCAATATTTTGGTAACTTAACTATAGAATATAAATAGTTTGGTAATTAAACAGTAGCTTTTTTTCAGTAAAGTGGAGGCAGTAATACATGCATGCTAGCCCTCCTGGCCTTCTTTCTATGACCCAAGAGGACCAGAAGCAAACTTTCCAACTTTCATGTTTAAACAGAATCCAAAGAGATTTGTGGTTAAAACTGACTGCTGTTGGATGTGTTGGGTTTTCATTTAAAATGTAGGTATGCTGTGACCACAGCCCTCCCAATATAAAGCAAGCTTTGATCACCAGTAATAAACAATGAGTAATTCTTACTCAGAAATAATTATTCAGGAATTTAGTTTTTACAATAATACTTGGAAGTTTTGTTTAAAAGATTCTGGGCTGTGTACTTTTCAGGCATGTTGCTTATTTTCTAATTTCATACTATACTCTAGAAAACTTGGGATAGCTCAACCTTCCCCACTCATGTGACATCCAGATGGATTAGACTGCAGCTCTCAGATTACTTAGCCAGCAGGGTTTAGAATATGGTATTTCAGTTCTATTAATACAACCCTCAAATAACCCTAAAGGAAACTGTGATTATTTGAGGGTTGTCTAATTCTCCAACGACCCCTGTCTCCTGAGTTTGCATGACATGAAAACCCATGGTGCCAATGGACAGCCAGCAAAATGTGAGAGCTCTTTTGGCTAATTTAAGCCACAGTAGATTGTTGTGTTGTGCATAGCAGTTCTCTAGAGGCATCTTTACACAGCTCTTGTAAAGTATTTGTAAAGTATTTCCATATTAGAGCTGGCAAAGGTGGCTGTGGCTTACTTAACGGGCTTCTCTGTGGGTTCTGAAGACTGTTTCAAGTTTCTCACTTACTTACTGCTTGTGCTATTAAGCACTAGCTCAGTAAAAGAATGATGAAACACAGAATAATTTTGAAACATTATTCAGTTTTAGTTTCTAAGATTAGTTAGCAGTGACCACATCTTTCCCCAGTATTACGCTTTCAGTAACACCTAGGAAATAACTTGACTTGAACTTCTTAAGCACTTGTTCTTGTTACCTGCACCAATAACAATATAAGTACATACATTCTTTACAAAGTAACAGCAATGATACCTAATTCATAGATACAATGGAATAGAATATATAATAGAATAATATAATATGAAGTAACACAATGTAATAATACTATCGTGACACTAGAATAATTACATCAGGTTTGGTCCAAATTTATACCGGATTGACTGTTCTGGCAGAGGTGGACAGCTTCACTACCCTCTTCTTCATATGGCAGCTCCTCCAGCTTCCTGAAAATGCTACAGAGTCAACAGAATGGGGCGACCCACAGTATGGGGGCAGGGGGATCCCCAGAGAGGCTCATCATGAGCAGAACCCTTCATGAGCAGAACCCTAAATGTCACTCTACAAAATAATGGCTGTTGCCAGCAGGCATCTCAGTATCCAATTCTGACTATAAAATATGACTTTTTAATGCAATTTAGACACAGTGTGGGAAGCTAAGGAACAAGCTTACCAATTTATATTGGTTATCAAAAAGAAAAAAAGAAAAAGTGTTTGTAGCAAGAAAAATACAATTTTCTTCGATAAGGTGTGTATGACCATTTTGAAGAAACTACCTTTTTGAAAACTAGATTAAAATTCTTCCAAAACGATTATAGGGTTTTTCCTTTAAATAAGAAAAAATAAATCACTTCAGAAGTACTTTGGCTTTTTCTGAGTTGTGTTATCGCTCTTTTTCTAATTAAAAGAACAAAGTGAAGATGCAAATTACAGTCTTGCTTGCACATTAATTTTCTCCTCTGATGGCAGCTCTTCAATTCAGAATGGAGTAACATATCTGTAGGATACAGTCATCCTGCCCTATCCCAGCATGCTGAGGCTGCGGTCATGGGGCATATGTGTCTTCAGAGAACGACACAGACCAAAGGATAGGGAACAAATGTGGTGTGTTCCTGTGGCACCAGAACTTCAGATGTAGCCTGCTGTTCAGATCACAGATCTGCCTTGCATACAGTCATTTCCACAGGTTACTTGTCCTTTGCTACATGACCTGCCAGCCATATTTGGTGGTGCCCTGCAGTTTCTCCAATTGCCAGGCGTGTCCATGGCCCAAAAGGTTGCCAGCCCTGACTTGCACCTCTTGACATCCAGAAAAATATACAGATAGTGGGCTTATATAATTCTGCAAGCATGACTGTTTCCACCAGATGTGCCCTTTATGCTCTGCCATGGTTAATGTGTACAAACACATTTTGAAAACTGACTTTTAACTAATGATTAGGTGATTTGTAAACTAGGGTGGGCAGTCAGAGCTGGGCCTGTAGCAGGAAATATTTGTGGGGAGGAGCCCCAACTGTGTATTGGTTGCTGGTGAAGGACAGATGTCCTGCAGTTGGAAATGAAGCATAAATAGTCTAATACAATTAAAGTTATGCATGTAATTGTATTTGAATATTAATACATTTTAATTTTATATTAACTTAAGGTAAGTGCTAAAGCTGGTCAGTTCCTGTGTGGCCTTCTCAATCACCAAAAATGCAGTGAGCCGTTGGTGAAATTTGTGAATGGTTGGGAAGGATTCTTCCTCTGTGCTTTCTGCATCTTTTGCCAGTGCAAGGGCTCTGATGAAGGCAGGCCCTTCTCTGACTACTGCAGAGACATCTAAGGAGTGCTAGGACCTATGAGCTGGTGGAGTGTGTTTTTCTGCCTGCCACTCAGCCCTCTCCCCTAGGAGAGGACTGTCATTGTTGCACAAACAAGTCACTGCTCCAGGACTGAGGTTACCATCCCAATCCAAACTGGGAAGAGAAGTCACCCCTTTATTTGAAGAGTGAGCAACCCGGTACCATCCAGGTGTTCTGGACTACAGCCTTCATAATCCCTGACCAGAGGTCATACTAGTGGGGATTGTATCCCCAACAAGTTGAGGGGTGTCGGGTGCCGTACCCTGGATCTGCTGTAATGTTTTCATATTCTTGGTGTTAGGAAGAGGTCTTCTGCTGCCACTCGTGGAGTTCTCTCTTGCCTGCTGCAGCAAACTGCTTGTTCATGATTGCATGAAGAGCATTTTTCCAACCTATAATGCAGTGTTTATTGGGTGGTGGTGATCAGGGAGAGACGTCCAGAGGATAAAATAAGGTCCAAACATTGGAGGAATATTGGTTTACATAGACATTAAGTAGTGTGCAGCTCAAGATATACACCTACCTAGTTCTCAGAAGTTGTTTTCCCATCTTTATCTCTTGCTATGGATTTTTAGAGCACAGTCCAATGTAGATGCCCATAGCTCTTTGAACCCAAATGATTACAGACATCCTGTGCAGAGTAGGAAGAACCAGAGCACAACTCATTAAACTACTTTCGCAGGAATACTTTCCTTATGTGACAGCATCTTTCATATTTGTGCCAGCCACTTAATTATTTCTTATTTTGTTTTCTGTTCTGTAAATCAGCTTTTCCTCTACTGGGGGCTTTCAGATGTTAGAAACATAGAAACAGAGCAAGTCAGAAGGGGTCTCCCGGGCCATCCAGTCTGACCCCTGGCTCCAGCCAGCTCCACTCATGACATGCCCCCCATGTGCATGTCCAGCATATTGTTAGACTCCAGCTCCCATCATCACAGGCTAGTAGTCCAATATCATCTGGAAGTGCTTACTTAGAAAAGACAGCCCTAAAGTAAACAGGATTAAAAATTCTGTAATTATTAGGTTTGCTATTTGAAAATATTTATGGTCATGTAATAAAATGGCAAAGGGGCTAATATGTTATGGTTAAAAATGAGAAGAGTGCATTTTAATGGTTACTAAGCACTTTCCCCACAAACTTTCTTACAATATTGTCTTCCAGAAAATAAAGGATGCCGAAGAAAAAGACAGGTGCTCGCAAGAAGGCTGAAAATCGTAAAGAACGTGAGAAACAGATCAGAGCTTCAAGGGGCAACATCGATCTGGCTAAACATCCCTGCAATGCTTCAATGGTAAATTGTGAAGATGCCTTTTGATCTTTCTCTGACAGCATGTCATGAAACTGAGATAAAAACCTTGGTTTTCAAGTTTCCTTGCAAATGTACAAGTTTCAAATTCTCCACTGGAATAAAATGAACAGAGCTAACTCCTACATGAATAACCTTTGTTCCTTGCAAAGCATGCCAGATGCTATCCAATCATCTGAAACAATGTAATTAACATCACAAAAACAAGTAGGGACAATTTCTTTTAAAGTGCATCATGGTACAAGAAGAATACCTGCATCTGCTACTGCACCCTTCAGCGTTCTCTGACATAGACAGGACTCAGGAAAAGGGAAGGCTAGCGGCAAGAAGAAATAATAGCTGGCTACTGTTCCAAACCAAAGTTGATAGACTGTTGATTAAATCTGTTAATTCAGCTAAGGGAAATGTATGGCTTTCCAGATATTGTTGGATTTAAACTCTCATTATTTGCTCACAAAGGATGATAGAAGTTGCAATCTAATATATCCCACCTCTGCTTTAGCTAGAGATGCTTGAATTGAAGCTGGGATCATGCAGGGAAAACAGGTACTCTACCTGTGCCATCCCAGAACATTACACCTCTGTGCTATGTTTGAGTGATGTAGGATCATAGAGAGGGACAAAGGACAAAGAACTGGTGAATACAAATGAAACAGCAGGTTGAGAAATACATATTCTGAACCAAATATGGAGAAGATAGGATCTGAACTACCGAGTGCAGAATGGTATAGACCAGTGATGGTGAACCTTTTTGAGATTGAATGCACAAATTGCAACCCAAAACACACTTATTTATCACTAAGTGGCAACACTGCAATAAACCCTGAAAATTGAGGTTTTAGTTTAGAAAAAAACAACGCACAGCCAGTCCAAGCAAATATATATATATCCTTGGCAGCGAACTGACCGGCCATGTGAAAGCTCGGACCAGTGGCGGCTAATGCGTCATGGTTCATGACGTCATCGCCTGACACCACTACTCCTTTCCAGGCGTGTGCGTGACCCCTGTGTGCGCTGTTATCCGATGCTCGGCTGCTGGGCGACTTGGCTCGTGCGCTGACAGAGAGAGCTCTGTGAGTTCACTGTGGAACACATGCCATAGGTTCACCACCACTGCCCTAACCCTATCCTGCTGCACTTCCCTAACCCTAATACAGGGCTAACGTTCAACTGAAAAGAGGGCGATTTTGAAAAAGCCTTTGTCGAGTAGCTTTTTCTGCACAGCTCAACATTTCTGTCCATTCTAAACACATCCCAACCATCAAAATCATGCCAGGACACCTCGTTTTTCTAACCCTAACCCTACCCTGGTGCACACCCCTAACCCTAATACAGGGCTAAAGTTCAATTGAAAAGTGGGCGGTTTTGAAAAAGCCTTCCTTGAGTAGCTTTTTCTGCACAGCTCAACATTTCTGCCCATTCTAAACACACCCCAACCATCAGAATCATGCCAGGACACCTCATTTTTCTAACCCTAACCCTGTGATGGTAAACCTTTTAGAGACCGAGTGCTCAAATTGCAACCCAAAACCCACCTATTTATCACAAAGTGCCAACACTGCAATAAAACCTGAAAACTGAGGTTTTAGTTTAGAAAAAAACACCTCACAGCCAGTCCAAGCAAACACACACACACACACACACACACACACACACACACACACACACTTGGCAGTGCACTGACCAGCCATGCGAAAGCTCAGACAAGTCATGAGTCAAGGCCCGTGATGTCATCACCTGGCGCCACTACTCCTTTCCAAGCATGCACATGGCCCCTATGTGCGCCGTTATCTGATGCTCGGATGCTGGGGCGATGCTGGGGCGACTTGGTTGACAGAGAGGGCTCTGCATGCCCGCACACATGCCATAAGTTCCGTGCCACTGGTATAGACCCTTTTTTCCCAACTCGGTGCCATCTAGATGTTTTGGACTTCAGTTGGACATCAGCCCCAAACAGCATGGCCAGTGCTCAAGAATGCCTAGACCAGTGGACCAGAGAATCCTGAGGTGCCAGTCTGGACAAAACTGGTCAGTGTAGGCAGATGGAAGAATAATCTGATTGTCTTTTACTGTTGCAAAAAGAAGTACAACTTTATTTCCATTTACAAGTTGCTGTAATTTGTCAATTTAATTCACACATTTGTGAACTCTAACTTTAAATGGGAGTTCCTATAAAACTAAACAAAACTTTGATCTTTCATTTTTTCCAGGAATGTGACAAATGTCAAAGGTAAATATGCATTTTCAGTATTTCCCTTCAATACTTTTCTGGCACTATCTAAAGCTTGACTTGACCAATGATTTGTCTTGCCTATTTTTTATTTTGACAGACGGCAGAAAAATAGAGCCTTTTGCTACTTTTGTAACTCTGTTCAAAAGCTGCCTATTTGTGCCCAGTGTGGTAAGTGTTAGCTGCTTGGTATGTGCCTATAGTAAACATCTTGCCTTGTGATCTGCTAGTGCAATTTCATACTTTGGTTCTGTTAATAGTGAAAGCATTGTGAGCATTGTGCACTCAGGTATAGTTCTGTGTCTTATGAACGTTGCTGCAATGCCATCTTTTAAAGAGCAAAGCTGCCTTGGGGGATGACATTCAAATGCAAAAGAACAGGGAAGGATAATTTTTATTTTGCTTGGGAAGGGGATGTGCCACATTCCTGCCTCCTCCCACGGTCTGTGCTATAAATTTGTTTTTTTAAGAAAACCTATGTCAGGGCACCATTTAATTAAGGGCTCATGCAAGTCTGTCTTGGTGCCCAATCATTGCCTGACAATTGAGTAGGCTCAAGTGCATCCCAGCAGAAGTACCATTTTTTTCTAGCATCCACGCATTACTGAATCATTATTCCTTTGCAGGAAGAGCAGCTTTTTTAGCTAAAGAGTTGGTACTGTTATGCTTGCTCTCTTCTGCTACTGTCACAAGGGTGATTTTACAGTAGGATTGGAGTTTCTCTTCCAGCCAAGAGTGTAAAGAAAGCGGAGGGTGAGGAAGGGGCTCTTTAGCCATCTGCACTGGCTGCTGCTGACACCACAAGGCTTTGTTCCTCTTTCCTAACTAAGAGTCTGCATGACTTGATAGATGCTGCTGAGCCATGAGCATCCAGATTTGATTTCTGTGTCTGAAATCTCCCTCATGCGGGTTTGGTACAATTATCTAACTTTGATTCTTAAAGGATTGCAACCTTTAGTGACTTTGAATTGGTCTGAGTATTAAGCACTCCTAAGTAATCATGCAACACTTTGCAACATTTTTAATGTAAGCCCTTATAAAAACAGTGAGTGGCAGGTAGCTTGTTAGAAGAGGCATGCCCCTGAGCAAGAGGAGGAGGGATGCCTCTTAAGAAGGTATCTGCTATAAAACATACATGGACATCAAAAAAACCAAGGTCCTTGAACTGTTTTGTTCAAAATCTACTTAAAAGGATATAGGTCAATTAAACACAACTTAAATGACTTATGAGAATGATATTCCTAACACTTAGGTTTTTCTTTGTAATAGGAAAGACTAAGTGTATGATGAAGTCTTCAGACTGTGTCATAAAACATGCTGGTGTGTACAGCACTGGGCTTGCAATGGTGGTATGTATTTGAAAACAATCATAGATAGATAAGGCGTGGCCTAGTTGTTGCAGAGATTGCTTGCCTGACAGGTTTTTTGGCCTTCACTTGGATACTTGCCTTTTGTGTGCTGTAGCAAAATGCGGACAACATAATGTTTGCACAAATCATTTTGCATGCCTAAATACCTTTTAAAATCAATTGAGGTTGGTTATGCGTTACACTGCAGATCAAGTCAGAAAAATCCAGATTCTGAACTTCAAGACAGAAAACTTACTACTTTCATGAGACTATAACAGTTAAACCATGAATCATGGAGTAAACTGGAAAGAAGCATAAGCAAGTGGGTCTTGAGATTGTCAACCTAAAAACATCCTTCCCTGGTGCATTGCCTTCAAGACATGTTTGACTGCACCACCCATCCTCCCCAGCCAATATAGTAATGGAAATAATGGGCATTGTTCTCAAGCACAGCTGGAGGGTACCAGGTTGAATTTTGATATTTCTGCTTATATAAGTTTAAGTCAGGGTTTCTTGATTATGTGTGTTAGTGAGTGTGCTCACAGTTGGCTAGCACTCAAAATCACAAATAAGTAAACCTTTCTAGACCTTGACTTTCAGCATCTGAACTGTGGGGTTTTTGTGGTTTATTAGTGTGGCTGGGTTCACACAACAACCTGTAGTTCAGCTATACCCAAGGTTTAACAACAACCCACATTCAGTCACCATTTGGTGTGGGTTATGTTGTGTGACTCTAGTCATTGTGACAGGGCAGTGTATGGGAAAAGGGACAGCATCCTTGGTCTCATGTAGTGAGGCCTTGAGCCTTGGGTAGGCCCTACTCACGGTTAGTGAGATTTGGCAAGCAGCATAGATGGGACTGACTCTTTGGAGGAAAGTGGGCACTAGTTCCCTGGCCTATGGTAAGCTTTGGGGTGATCCCTTCAGGTTGGAGCAGCTTTCATCCTGAGCTGTTTTTGTTGTTAAGCAGTGCGCCCAAGAGAGCCACAGGATTCCAGAAAATCCACAGGATTTGCTTTCATGTGATTATTTTAGGATTGATAATTCAGCAGCCTTGCAAAAATGATCACTGAGAATATAAAACTCACCAGCAAACATTTGGAATGTAGTGCTTGGCTGTACATCAACCAACACCATGTCTGTATTCTTTTGCAGGGGGCAATATGTGATTTCTGTGAAGCTTGGGTTTGCCATGGCAGGAAATGCCTTAGCACCCATGCCTGTATTTGTCCTCTTGCTGACGCAGAATGCATTGAGTGTGAGAGAGGTGTCTGGGATCATGGTGAGTTGTCCACTATTTTACTTGCATTTCTTAGAACTCCACAATGGGAATTACAGAGAATATTTATGCAGACTCCTTTAACCAGATTAGTCCATAAAACAGTTTATCAGAGGAGCTTCCCTCTCATCTACAGGTGCTCTGCAGGTGATAATAAAGTGCTGTCCTGGGGCAGATTACCCAGTGTGAAGGTTCAAGCTACCAAGTTTTTTCTTGGTGCTTACTGTCATCATGCAAAATTCATCTGATGTTCAAAGTAAAATTCCAGTATTCTGTCATCAAGAAGGGTGGCTTTTTTCCCCTCTTGTGACTGTTTCTGTGTAGATTTCAGCTAAAGTTCTTTTTATTGGCTGTTAGTTCTTTATCTCAGTGACCCTTAACAGTGCATCATCTTAGACTACAATCCCAAGAATAAACTCCATTGAAAACAAGACTAATTTCTCAGTACGCACATATAGAATTGCACTGCTTCATTTTGTTTTAGGGAGAAGAACTGGTTCATCTTTTGAACCTAGGTGGTGCTATGCCATCAAGTCTCAACTTCACCCCAACTATTTGTATGGAAATGGTTTTAATGTGTGAACTTTTAATACTAGAAGTATATCATTAGAACAGGTGGTATATCACCAGATAATGCAAGAAAATACAGCTCTAGTTAGAATTTTGCTCAAATATCTAGTAACTGTAGGGACCACAAGGCAGGATCCAGGCTTACCACAGCATAATGTGGAGCTAGCAGTTCAAGGGACTCTCCGCTGACTTTTCAGGGTGGCTTGCAGAACTTCTAACTTTCTGTTCTGTAAGTGGTTGGGCTGCTTCCCACAACGGTGCAAGCAGAGGCACAACAGAAGTATTGGATGCTTACCATATGTCATAAAGTAAGCTGGGAACAGTCACAGATGTCTCCCATCAGTTGGTGGCCCTTTTTTTGAGTACAAAACACTCATGCTTGCATTTTAAAACACTATGCAGCTACTTAAAGGTCATCATCTGAAGCTGCTCTCTGGGGGCTATTCCCCTCATAAACAAAGCTGCCAGCAACTGAGGAGAGATAGTCATCTAGTCATCTAGTCAAATAGTCATCCTATTTATGGAAATTTCTCACACTGGAGACTCATCTGCTGCCTACTTTGCCATGCAAAGGCCTTTTCATTTCCCTAGGCTTATGCTGGTTAAAATGCTGATTGTATTTTAGTGATTGTGTTGCTACCATTTTTTATCAATGGTTTTTTGTTAACTTTGTTACCATCTTTTTGTATTATTGCATAAGTCACCCTAAAGATATCTAAAATAAAAGACCATATAGAAATTTCAAGGAGAAATAAGGTAACAATCCCATTCACTATTACCTGGGAATAAACACTATTGAACTCTATGAACTTGCTTCTTGAGTGCTTATAAAGATTTGTGTCTTCTTTATAAGCATACTTAGTTTTTGCCATGTACAGAGAATGGTTTTCATTGTTTTTTTAATCAGTTACATTCTTTTTCACTCAATCTTGTAGGAGGCAGAATATTCAGCTGCTCTTTTTGCCATAATTTCCTGTGTGAAGACGATCAGTTTGAACATCAGGCCAGCTGCCAGGTTCTGGAAGCCGAGACTTTTAAATGTAAGCTATTCCCCTAAAGCCTCTCTTATCAAAAGTGAATTGGCTTTAACTGTTTCTAGAATACAACTGGTCCAGAGGGGCAGCTCAGAGGTGAATGTTAAACCACTAATTTAAGAAGATAATCACTCAAGTTGGTGCTTTATGCAATATAGCTGGACTTGAGGAATTAGGAATGGCTGCCTGGCCCCTCCATCACAGTTTGCATTTTGCAGAGTGAAGTGGAAGATCAGAGGATCTGTCAGGCTCTTGGTAGTGGGTGTGATTTCCTCTTCAACATTTTTGTGTGTCCTCAGAAAACAGTCATTTGCAGAAAAATCAGACAGGGAATTCAGCCTGGTGGGAGTCAAGATAGCCAGGTTTTATTAAGAATGGAAAGAATGTCTGTGTTAAGAAAGGAACATTTGTGATCAGCTAATGGTACCATCCGTCATTTTCTCTTCTTGCTTCCTACTGCAGTTTGATTACAGCCAAGCTATCATGGTTATAATCACTCTCAAATCCTTAAATGTGTAGCTTGTTTATGAACAAAAAATGTAGGAAGGCAATACAAGAAAAGGTGTTTATTGTGATCCCATTCATAGAGTCACCCCATAAGCACTGTTTTAATCTGGGGTATACAAGGAAAGCAAAACTGAAAAACCTCTTGGAGTCTTCATTATTGCTTTCCCAGTGCATGTCGCTTTCCCTCGTCTTGCCTTTTCAGGACATGCCAATAATTCTAGTAGGGGAAGAAGTGAGCCTTTTTGTGATGGAGCTCATGCTTTATATGTCCTGGTTTCTAAGATCTTTGATTAATGGGCCATAGTGGGAAGGATAGGACAGATCCTGCCTGAGACAGGTGGAGAGCCACTGCCAGAGTACGTGAGCTTGGCTTGATAAGCCTTTAGTATGAATCTCTGGTAAGAAAGCTCCTTGCACCCATGGCCTCTTCTGACATGATGAGCTGCCCCCTCCAAGGTTTCTTGTCTCTCCTTTGTATCTTCTGTGTTGACTGTTGTTTCCTAGGGGGCAGAGCTTATGTTGGAACTTTATGATAGGGTTAGAGTATGTCAGATGTCACTGTATGCTGAATGTGATCTGCGTAGAGGATATTTGGGATATGTCCCTGATCTTTCAGCATGCAAAATCATGCAAGGAGACCCAGGTTTGGGACCATCAGTATGTGCAGGTACTCCATGCCCTGGCTTCGGCGAATGGGGCGGCATAAAAATGTTTTAATTAATAAATAAATAAATAAATAAATAAATAAATAAATAAATATAATCTCTTATAGTTTTACCTGCACACGCCCTACACTTCCCCCCGAAAATCCAGTTTTGCTGCTTTCCTTTGTGCAACAAACTGAGGGTTATTATTATGCAGGCTTCCTCTGTTTCCCAGAGGTGTGATTGTGATAATAGGGCCCAAGCTTTGTAGGATCATCATTAAAAATGTCTAGTCACTTGCTTAAACTGAGGCCTGAGTGTTCATTTTCCTTGTGCTTGGAAGAGGCAGTCCTGGAAAGCCTGAGGCTATCAATTGAACTGAAGAGATGACCTTGATTTAGAAGGCAAAATGAAAAGACCAAAGCTATAAGATCTCATTCAACTGTGCTTTTTTACCTTGCCTAATAGGTGTTTCCTGTAATCGACTTGGGCAGCATTCATGTCTTCGTTGTAAGGTAAAAGCAAAAATATTTTAAGGGAGATGTGGTGAGCTTGCTATACCCATACTTTAAAGCTGCTGTCAGCTCTAGTCATGTCCTTTTCTACAATACATCACACTTCTCTTGTGATTTTTCTAAAGAAACTATCTTTGTGCTGTTTCTATCACACTTTGATTAATGTAACCACCACACTGTGTTCCTAGACGCTTAATGTTCCTTCCAGTCTTTCTAAACCACAATGGCTAAAATTGCCTTCCTTACTCATTGTTCCAGTCACAAAGCTGCTGCTGCTGCTGCCTTTTCCCTCTGCTGATTTCTTTTTTATTCAAAATATGTTTCATCTTTGCCTGGTTATCTACATCACCAATCAACTTCCACCTGCATTGCAAGGATCATACTTCACTGTTTCTGAAAACATTCTCTTGCACATGGTTTTGATAGAGGATTTACTCCATCCATCACTGTACTCTCAGTCAGCCAAAGAATAGTGGGCCAATAATGGGCCAATCTGACATCACAACAGTAAATCATGGGTTAATTGAGGGTTAACTCACAATTTGCTGGCATGTAACTTGCTTGGAAAAACTTTGCATCAGTCAGTTTTACTGCCTTAGGCAGGATGACTGTAGAGTGGCAGCTTGTTAATCCCCCTGTGCATGCTGGTCATGGACCAGCTAATTATTCTCTGTGGCAAGCTTGTTGTAACATCTGAGCCTGGAAGACCAGCAGGGCCTATTTTGCTTGATATTGTACATCAAGATGTGCATTGGTGAGCATAAAAGTTGCATTAGAATCAACAAAGTTCGGGCAACTGTGACTAAACATTCTCAAGAGTACAGTCATAATGAGAAAAGCCTGAGATTCTGGTGTTTATACAAGGGGAAGGAGATTTACTGTATTCATAAACCTTCCATTTTGGTGCCTAGAGGCCTCAAGTGATGGGACTGTGATTGTATGGGAGTTATAATGTGAGTATCAGTATCTGTGATGTTGAGAATTGTCCATTTTTTGCCATAGTTTACAATTTTCTTGCAAATTTTACACTTGTTAAATTCCCAAGTGCAAAGGAAAGTCTGTTTGGTCTGACATATATTCTGCTAAGCTGTGGGCAGCAGTGTGTCATTCTGAACTCTGCCAGGGGTTGGGGAGAGGTTAAAAGCTGCACCAAGAAGCCCTAGCTTGTTTTGGGGGTTAAGTAAATGGACTGGGGCTTAGGTTTGGAGAACACACTAATCCAGGGTCAAGCTGAAAAGCAGCAGAACCTTTTGGCCAGAGAGGCAAAAACAGGTTGCCATTCTAGCCAAGAGGCTCTGTCAGATGACAGCCATGCCAAAATGTCCCTGTTCTACTGTGGCTGTCAGCCGAAAGGGTCTGAGTTCTAGTGGTGCAGGAGGTCCCAAAGGCCTGCCTCCTCAAAAGGAGGAGCTTTGTCCAGCACCCCGCTGTATAGCAGGGGAACTGTCTGGTCTGCTTGTTTCCCTTGCAAGGAAGACAAACCACAGAACACACAGCACCCCCTCCCCGTTCCCCTTGCCTGGCTGGAGAGTTTGCTGAGAACTATGGAAGTCTTTGCCGTCCTACTCCGGATTCCCTGCCCCACAATCCTGCCAATGCCAGGAGGGTGGAATACTTGCAAGCAAGGAATGTTCTCCCAGCATTAACAGTTCAGGATGAGTTTCTAGCAACTGTCATCCCATTCTCCTCAGTATTCCCACAGTGTCCCTTGGAATACCTGTGGGGAGGACTGAAGGGGAAGGAGGAGGCACTTGGTCAAAATTGCCAAGGGTTTTAGGGTGGCTTGTGGACTCACCCTATATTATTTGTTGGCTAAGTTTTGGTAGGCTTAGGTTATAAATGGACTGGGTTTATCAGTGAGTTTATCTTCTTATGAAACACACTCATTTACATTCAGTTAAAACTGAATTTGTGGTTTTGGTTAGCCTTTTTCGTATTTACATATGAATGTTTTTTAGATTCTGTTACTATTTTTACTGGTACCTTTCCTTGTGTAGTTTTAAGCCACATTTTAATTGTTTTCTAGTATTGTGTAAATCCCATTATTATATTATTTTTACTTGTGTGTAAAATTTGCTGTCTGTTCTGATCTTACATTGCTTTGTTTAACATTGAAAGATTCAATGTTGGACCAGGAAATAACTGTAGGAAAGCCCTGCTAGTGGCTCCTCATAGACATCTGGTTAGTTACTGTGCAAGTAGAATGCAGGACTAGATAGGCCTTTTGTCTTACCAGGCAGAGGTCTTCGTAGACTCTCACACTTGCACGCTATCGTCCTTCATCTTGGACATGTGGTTGTGTTCTCTGATCTTTTTCTTGCTGCAGTTCCCTTCTGTTTAAAATACTTTGTATTTCCTTTTTACCTTGTAGGCCTGTTTCTGTGATGATCACACACGGAGCAAGGTTTTCAAACATGAAAAGGGAAGACAGCCACCCTGCCCAAAGTGTGGGCATGAAACGCAGGAGACCAAGGACCTCAGCATGTCAAGTAAGCTTGCCCTCAGAAGACCCACGGACTGGGGCAGGACTCACATCTAGGGTTGGGATGGCTGAGTATCTCAGCAAAAGGCCCACTGATGAGAGTCCCTGGACTTGCTCCTCTTCTTCATCACTGCATCCTGCTTGATCTGGTTGGGACAGCAGTGTGGTGTGAAGGTACAGCAGCAGATGCTTCCTCCTGCATGCCTGCTAGTGCTTTGGCTAGCAAGGAAGCGGGGTCACAATGGTGAAGAACAGGAGGAACAGTAAGTGACAACAGAGGTGGCACAGTAGACTTACGGAGCAAGAGTGGCTCCAAAACCTGGAGCCAGCACTTATTGGAAGGTTCATGTTCTTCCACATTTGTGGGGCTTGATGCAGGCCTCTGGTGAGAAAGCAGTATGACAAAAGGCCCTGAGTAAAGTCAGCCTTCCCGGATCTAGTGTTCCCATAATGTGCTCTACTCCACCTTCCATCATTTTCAGTCTGGAGGGAATCAGATTATGGACAGCTGCCTTAAAATGGTGGTTCTCAAACTTCCTATCCCCAGGGAACCCTCCTCAGATCAACTTTTCTGCTGAGAAACTCTGTGTGTCAGCTGCAATGTCTCAGTTCTCCCATAAATGCAATGAAGGTTTAAAAATGCAGCTATTATAATTGCCCTGGTGAACATTCTGTCAACTTGGAAACTTCAGATGCCTCTTTTGAAAGATACCTTTGTGTAAAATAGGGTTTTGTGAAACTTTGATTTGATTTATATTCAAACAAATCTGGGATTCCAAATTTTAATGAACACACCTGGTTCCTCTGATATACTGGCTGGACCTGTTGGGATTCACTATTACCTGGCTCATCTGAGAATGTGACTTCCAAAACCTGAATGCCCAAGCAAATATAAAGGAAAATCATGAATGGTGGACAAGCTGCCCATCCCCCACCTGGCATAACTGGAATTCTGGATATACTAAAGGCAAACAGAAGATTTACCCAGAACGCAGTCTGCAACCCCCTGTCTTAATGTATGAGAAGGGTGGGCTGGATTGTGCAGCTTTTGTGTTAGCCTTGGTACGCTTCAGTTACTCGCTTGCCATTGTGAGCTGATTCTATTGAGATGGGTACTGCCAGGATACAACCCTTCTTGCATGTGTGATGCAGCCTACAGGTCCCTCCCTGCCCTAATCTGCAGTCTTCAGGGCCATTCATAGCTGCCATGAACAAGCTTTCAGTGGGACCAGGCAGTCATAGTCCTCCCTGGTCCCACTTGCAACTTGCTGATTTCAAGTGCCAGTTTTCACCTAGAAAAGCAGGTCCTATAGCCAATTTGGAGCTAACGCAACCCCCATGGGGATGCTCCATTGGCATGTTCAACCATCCATGCTTGACTTGGCACTACTGGACTGCTAGATCTACAACGCTAAAAACTGAAGAAAAACTCAGCATTGCTTTGTAAAGTTCATTGTTGTTGTGATACTTATTTTACCATTCTTAATGAACTCAAAATTAATTTGCTGATGACCAGTTCTGTTTTTCTGCACATTTCTCTATAGAATCTCATAACTGTATGAGATTTTTTAAAGTGGTGGGATAGGTTTTTGTTGGATTCAGATGAACCCACCAGTGGCTTGTATTTAAGAAATTTGCTATGGAATGTGTTCAGTGTTAGTCTAGCTTAAGTTCCTTTCATTTTAATGGGTCTCATCTAAGTAGGACTGTCATTGGATACAGCCCCCTGTGTCCCCATGATGCCAGATTCTTCTGTCTTAACTGCACATGTACACGTGTGTGTGGTAAAGGAGAACATCTAAGATTACCTAGGGATATTTTAAGCACACTCTCTCTGCCTCTGGTAGTTAGCATGAGAGAATGAAGCTTCTTTACCAATTGCAAAAATGTTCATGGACCATTTTTACCTATCCTCTTCACCTGCCCTGCACAAACTGCAATGGGGGAAAAATAATCACTTGTCCTCATAATTTGGCAGCAAACATTCCAGAGCATCTGCTAATGTTAGAAGTGTTACATTTAACTTGCTTTCAAGATTTGACCCTTTTAGCTCTCCATAGTCAGCACAGAGTGCCATTTTGGGGAAAAAAACTTGTAAAGGGGGACAGAGGTACAAACACAACCCATGGGCTACATGTTTCCCATCCCTCTTCTATGTTTACTTCCCCAGGAGAACTCAGAGGATTAGTGGACTTACCAATTCAGATACAAGAGATTCAGATACAAATCTCTTACTCTGATATGAGAAAGAGAGAGAATTAATAATCTAAATTAATATAAGATCTCTTGCAATCATCTATTGAATTAATCTGCCTCTTTTGGATTTATACTTGTAACTTTATTACAGCTACAAATTGTGATCTACATTTAGAATAATTGTTTGCACAACTATCAGAATAATTGAAATAGTAATAAGAGAAGCTTGTCATGGGTTGGATGGGCTATTTAACATCCACCTTCCTTAACACATAATAAAAGGGGGAGGAAAAAAAGACAAAATAGAAGCATCTGAAGTCTCTGTGTGTAAATATGTGTGTGTATTATATATATATGTATATATTGTTTTCCAGCACGCTCTTTGAGGTTTGGCCGTCAGACAGGAGGTGATGACGCTAATGGAGCTTCTGGCTATGATGCTTATTGGAAGAACCTTTCTGCTGGCAAAGATGCAGGAGATCGTGATGAGGAGTATGATGAATATGAAGCAGAGGAGGATGAAGAAGAGGATGACAATGAAGACGGTGGGAGGGATTCAGAAACAGAGCCAGCTGATGTGTTCAGTAACTTGAACTTGGGAAGGACCTATGCTAGTGGCTATGCACACTATGAGGAGACTGCTGACTAAGGCTGTAGGCCCAAGCATGCTTAACAAACGAAAGTCCTCCCGATCATAGTGGTGCTTTGGGTAAACATACTAAGGATCTGCCTGTAAGCCATGCTTAGAGTGGAAGTAGAATTTGAGAGGAACTCTGTGTCTGTTTAGTAAATTTTATATAGGACACCGAAATAATTAGGCTTGCTTATTAGAAATCAAAGGGAATGGAGCAGTTGCAGATGATCAAGAAAAATGGTATGGCTAGAAGGTTTGGAGAAGAAAAAGGCCATGGATTTACATTGGTTCTGGGAAGTTAATGCTCTCTTCACAGCAAGAGTCAGAAGTGCAAAAAGAGTATGGCATTTTCTGTTTCCATGTGTTCATCAGAAATGAAATTATTTCCCTTGTGTAATTTTATGGTGGGTTTTGTCATCATGTTACATAAATTACATAAGTATTGGTGACAATGGGACATCTATAATTTTTATATATTGGAAGCTGTCTTCTGTGAAAACTAGATCTTTTTGCATACATATTGAACTAGCCTGACCACATGGGGAAAATGCTTGCCACAACAGTTGTATTTTTAAAAAAGGAAATTAACTTTACTTTGACATTTTTATCAAGACCAATTGATATATTCTCTTACAAAGCACTTCTAGAGCATTACCAGTCCTTCCCTTTTGAATACTATACACAATTATAGAGTTTACAACAATTTGCAGTGACTAAAATAAACTTTTGATATATTTGTCATTATTAAAATATGCATCTTCCTTACCTGAATAAAGGCCATTGCACTCTTTCATTCCAAATTCTTGTGCTTTTCTGATGGGGGTGGATGTGAATCAGTGGCTATATGGTTAGAGATGTCAGTAGGAATAAGCAGCAGGAAAAGATTTCCTGGAATAGGTTTGGGAGTTTTGGGGATCTATTGAACTAAGAAGTTGGGTGTCAGGTGTGTCAGGTAGCATGTAATGCCCCTATAAAAGTCCCACACGAATGGGCTTCACCAAGAGGAGCAGCCTCCAGCACTGGTTGAGGCTTCTGCAATATTTCCTGGCCTGGCCTTGTTACCTTCAATCAGAGGTACCAGTGGTGACCCTCATTTGGAGGCCAAGACCCACCCCTGGAGGAATCCAAGGAGGCTCTGCCTTTGGTTTAAACTGAACTCAGTATGGTCTTGTACACATTAAGTGCTATTTGCCAGCAATGCATAACTGTTCCTTCATATACTTTTTTTTCTTTCCCCAAAGGAGCTCAGGGTGACATGCATATGCCCTGTAGCCTTATATGAACCCTGCAAAGAATTATGCAGATAAGCGGCTGATCCAAGTTCACGTTTAAGACTGACAATTCAGTTATTGGCTGGATACATTCTCTTAATGAGTATCCCTTAAAATTCGAGTTTGTATAGGCGGATAAGTCAGACCAGGCTTATCTCAAAATGAGTAGAACATGCCTCTCCTGGCCTTCTTGCTTTGCTTTATCTGCTCTGTTTAAACAAGTTCTGAATACCTACCCTCTAGACAAACAATAAGTAATAAAAGTAAATCAGGATTTCAGACAGGCCTCTTTCCTTGTCCTACCAGGTGGTGCCAGGAACTGCACCATGCGAAAGCATGAGCTGTGTTTCTGAGTTAAGGCTGCTCGCTTCTTTCAGGTGGATTGATCACAAGGTTCAGTAAACCTAAGCAGCCCCTATTAAAATCATGGTAGAAATGAAATAGACAGTTTCCTCCATTGTACAAATGAATTCATCTATTCAAACCTTAAACGTTATATCGAGTGTGGAGCATTTTATTGCCACAAGGCTCCTGCACCTCTGTCCTGTAAATATGGATGAACTCTGGCTTGAGCATGGAAAAAACAAGTCATGCCCTGCATGAGAAAGAACAATTTAGTTTATGGGAATTGGAAACTATATTATAGCCTCCCATCTTCAGGTACAGTTTGGTTCACTTCAATATAAAATGTAATCTATATCCTTCCTTTTTTTAGTAAAAGGTGGGGTACCAAAATAAAAAAAGGGAAGCAGAATGGCTGGGGTGAGCAACTACAATTCAGAAAAGACCTTGCTCAGAATTGGGATCAGGAATAATGCTTGAGAAAGGCTTCCACTAAGAACTTTGAGAATTCCTTACTGTAAACCATGGTGCAGTCCTTGTTTTGTAAAATGCTCACATAAGACCATTGGGACACTAGCTGTTGTTTTTATTTATTCATTAAGAAAACCACAATGGGATGGAGGGACTGCTAAATATTTTAACACGCAAGGCCAATGTCTTGGCTCATGAAGATATTCTTCACTTCCTTGTACCCGGGATTTTCCAAGGAGAAGGGTAGACTTCTTTCACCCCACCCCCCATCCTCCACTTGGGACGTCCTATGGCACAAACACTGTGCAGTGGAGTGTATTACGAATCATTAACGTGCATAGCATGCTACTTTAAGATCAGGATATTTGGGCAGCTGGTTTGGGAGTGATATGCTAGAGAAGAAGTTCTCATGTTTTGACAGCAGCCTCGGGAATTTGTTGGCAAGGAAGAACACAGGAAGAGCACACTCACGCAAAGCAACCCTAGAATTGGGTGGAGAGGGTACATGACATGTGCAAATGAGGCTCCATTGATTTAAAATACGGATAGGCTAAACTTCCTACTGGGGCAGAAGCAAGCAATGCGTGGTGGCTTGATAAGGCTGGATCCCTGAATCTCTATGAGGCCATTTGTCCATCATCCTGCTAGCCATGGGTACTTACTGAAGATCTCTCCTGCATCTCATTTCTCTGGATTGGCTGGCTTTCCCCCCCCCACATGTGTTTCACCTCCTGCTTCCCACCTCAAATCTTTCTGCATTACCTTTTTTTCCTGAACTCAGATCTCCCCTTCCCCTGTTCACATATTCCTTGTGCCAAAAAAGGGTGTCTTTAAGAGATGCGGTCTTATAAAAAATGCTTAACACAAAGAGTTTAATACGTAAATTAGCACATGCATATTTGTGTTTTTACTTTATTATATATATATTTGCAGGGGTGGGGCTATGATCTTAAGCTGCAGATGTTTTCGGTAGCAGGGATTAACCCCGTGGAACATAAAAAGGGAACCAAGTTTTACTAATCCTAAGCACACACAAACATTTAAATTATTTCTCCAATACAAAAAGTCAGAACCCTATCCCTCAGAGCTAACCCCTGTGGCTAGGTGGCAGCAGTGATGAGAAGCATGTGGGGAAAAGGCCGCTCACTTTCACAGTGCCCCTCCTTGAGGGTTGGGGCACATGCATGCTCATAAGGCGAGTTTTGGGAAGTAACTGCTAGGCTGAGTTCAACAAACTGCTTTGTGCTGGCTCAGACACTTGACTGAATGATTTTCATGCAGGAACAATAAAGAGGGTTCTGTTGAGAATGGCTCAAGGATGGTGACTGTTGGAAGAAGGAAATGTTTGTGACATCAGCCATGGTGAATGGTGTCTGCTATCAGCTTTGACTGATTTGCCAACTGTGTCCCTTCCTGGGGGAGCATGATCTGAAAACAGTAATGCCGGCGTTACTAACCTAGGTTTGGTTTCTGCAATGCACTCTACATAGGGCGACCCTTGAGCCTGCTCTGGAAACTGCAACAAAATATGGCAGCCAGGCTGGTCTCTGAGGCATCATGGAGAGACCACATATCACCTATTTTAAAGTCTGCATTGGTTGCCAATACGTTTCCAGATACATTACAAAGTGTTGGTAATTACCTTAAAGCCCTTCATGGCTTGGATCCAAAATACCTTCAGGAGTGTCTTTGTGCATACATTCCTTCTTGCCATTTAAGGTCCTCTGGAGACAATCTTCTGAAGTCTGTTTCTATAAGCTAAATGTCAATCAGCCCAGTCACCCTACAGACTATGGAACAGTACAGAAGTGCAAATAACAACAACCACAACAACCACCACCACCCAGATGACTTTTTCAGTGGTTCCCCGTAAGCTGTGGAATGATCTGTTAGGACAGATGCATCTGATTTCCCAAATTCCCACCTTTAAGAAGGAGTTAAAATGTATTTCTTCCGACAGGCCTTTCCAGATTAGTTCTCATGTCAGTTGTTTTTAATATGTTGTCTTAATATTATTCACTGATGGTTTTACTTTCTTGTAATCCATCCAGAGCCTATGGGAATGCAATGGTATATAAATATTTAGGTAGATTTGATGGATATATGAATGGATGGATGGGTATGGAACTGCACATAACATTGAAGAGTTTGGGCACATCTTATCAATCACATTAATCTGCTGAATGCTGAAAAAATGGAAAAGAAAATGCTACAAGATATCCTAAAAATCAGGCACCTCTCTTTACTGTTATTGCCAGATATTTTTTCCTGTCACTGTGCGTTAGAACTTGTACTTTTTAAAGTACATGGAAAGGAGGATATGGCTCCTCTCAGCTTGTGTAAGCTGCTAAAGCCTGCATTCATAAACTAAGGACAAATCCTGGTTTGTGATGCTGGCATGCAGTGGAGGAAACTGATAACACAGTAAGCTTTCAATTCCTGGTTAGATTAGTGGCTACTTGTGCTGGCGGGAGGAGCCAGTTGGAAGCAAAAAGGTGCATGCACCATCATGCAACATGTTCATAAACCAGGATTATTTTTGCAATGAGACTATTGCAATATTCAGGGCTGCCCGTGAAAACTTCTGTTGATGTTTATGCAGCAATCAGATGGATAATCAGTTCTGGTAATGGAATCATGTTACCACTTAGTTAAAGTAGCTACTCTCATTTCTGGCACATGTCTGGATGCAGCTCATGGTTCTAGCTTGACCCCAAATGGTTTAGGGCTTTCTGCCAAACTTATAAGATCTTCTGGAGTAGCTGTCTCAAAAATACTTGGTTAGCCCCATCAGACAAGCCACCATGGCTTTAATACCTGGCAGCCCCATAAAAACCCATAGGTTATTTCCCTTCCAGCAAGCCATGCTCCCCAAGTTCAAACAATACAACAAGCCACTGCAGCTTCATGTAATTGCCTGCACAGTATGGGTCCCATTTCTCAAATGTATTTATGTCACAATAGCTTGTTTTGATGGGCCAAACTGGGTCAGTGTCTTGTGCTAGGAATGGGAAAAGGATGCCTTCCCATGGCTGGCTCAGATTATTGAAATCACTCTAAGAAAAAGTCTTTCCTAACTTGGGTGCCTCCCAGATGGGTTGCACTGCAGCTCCCATCATCCCCTGCTAATGGGCATTGTAATCCAACACATCTAGAAGGCACCCTATAGGGAAAGTCTGCTCTAGAGAAGCTCTCCTCACTTGACCTTCTTATTGATGGCTTTTTGCCACTGCGTGAAAAACGTTCCTGTTGAGACAATTCTTCGGTCTATGCTCATCTTACATGGTTGCTGCTGTTGATATTGTTAATATTTCATCTGCTCCCTTGCTACATTTTAAACCTGTTTCATGTTTAAGACTCAAATCTGATAGGTTTGCTGTTAATGGTTTTATTTTTGGTATGCTTTTATTTTTAAGCTGCCTTGGGCACGAGTTCATGAAAAAGTAGGATATGACAACTTACAAGAGATAGAATAAAAGGCAGGAACTTAGTCTACAGCATCCATTTCTTCATGCGTCTCCTGATGCAGTGAGCACAAGACCCAGTTTCAACATAAGAATGGCTCTGGCTTGATCTCAGTGTGGGAACTATTGCCAATAGGACGGAAGGGAGAAGGATGCCTGATGGGACATAATTGCAAAAGACAGCAAACAGCAGCTAACAACATCTCTTAATCATGATATCAGATACTGAGGTAACTAGAGACTGCTAATACT